ATTTCTACAGGGCTGCAAAGTATGCCAGGGGAGTATGTAGCCCGGGGTGGTCCAATGGGTGTGAGTATGGGACAGCCAAGTTATACCCAACCCCAGATGCCCCCCCATCCTGCTCAGCTGCGTCATGGGCCCCCCATGCATACGTACATTCCTGGACACCCTCACCACCCAACAGTGATGATGCATGGAGGACCGCCCCACCCTGGAATGCCAATGTCAGCATCAAGCCCCACGGTTCTTAATACAGGAGACCCAACAATGAGTGGACAAGTCATGGACATTCATGCTCAGTAGCTTAAGGGAATATGCATTGTCTGCAATGGTGACTGATTTCAAATCATGTTTTTTCTGCAATGACTGTGGAGTTCCATTCTTGGCATCTACTTTGGACCAAGGAGCATCCCTAATTCTTCATAGGGACTCTTAAAAAGCAGGAAATACCAACCGAAGTCAATTTGGGGGACATGCTAAATAACTATATAAGACATTAAGAGAACAAAGAGTGAAATATTGTAAATGCTATTATACTGTTATCCATATTACGTTGTTTCTTATAGATTTTTTAAAAAAAAATGTGAAATTTTTCCACACTATGTGTGTTGTTTCCATAGCTCTTCACTTCCTCCAGAAGCCTCCTTACATTAAAAAGCCTTACAGTTATCCTGCAAGGGACAGGAAGGTCTGATTTGCAGGATTTTTAGAGCATTAAAATAACTATCAGGCAGAAGAATCTTTCTTCTCGCCTAGGATTTCAGCCATGCGCGCGCTCTCTCTCTTTCTCTCTCTTTTCCTCTCTCTCCCTCTCTCTAGCCTGGGGCTTGAATTTGCATGTCTAATTCATTTACTCACCATATTTGAATTGGCCTGAACAGATGTAAATCGGGAAGGATGGGAAAAACTGCAGTCATCAACAATGATTAATCAGCTGTTGCAGGCAGTGTCTTAAGGAGACTGGTAGGAGGAGGCATGGAAACCAAAAGGCCGTGTGTTTAGAAGCCTAATTGTCACATCAAGCATCATTGTCCCCATGCAACAACCACCACCTTATACATCACTTCCTGTTTTAAGCAGCTCAAAAACATAGACTGAAGATTTATTTTTAATATGTTGACTTTATTTCTGAGCAAAGCATCGGTCATGTGTGTATTTTTTCATGGTCCCACCTTGGAGCATTTATGTAGACATTGTAAATAAATTTTGTGCAAAAAGGACTGGAAAAATGAACTGTATTATTGCAATTTTTTTTTTTGTAAAAGTAGCAGTTTGGTATGAGTTGGCATGCATACAAGATTTACTAAGTGGGATAAGCTAATTATACTTTTTGTTGTGGATAAACAAATGCTTGTTGATAGCCTTTTTCTATCAAGAAACCAAGGAGCTAATTATTAATAACAATCATTGCACACTGAGTCTTAGTGTTTCTGACGGAAACAGTTTGGATTGTATAATAACGCCAAGCCCAGTTGTAGTCGTCTGAGTGCAGTAATGAAATCTGAATCTAAAATAAAAACAAGATTATTTTTGTCATGCTGACTCCACTGCTTGAAAAATTTGTATACTGCCCCCCAAATTTGAATGATTAATGCAGTAAATATAAAAATTTTTAGCTCCCAAGCCACGTATGTATTTGAAAATTTTAACCACAAAGCAAATTATTTAATAATAACCTCTGATTTCTTTAAGCTGACTTAATGAACTCCTAATATCAGCAAATTTGAGGCCTAGAGGCACTAAACTAACTGTAGACTCAGAATTGCATCCAAAAGAATTACTCATCTAATATCAGTAAAATTATTTTTGCATATAATGGCAAACCTAAGTACAAAGCTAAGTCTTTTACTAAAGATGTTACCTAGAAGGAGTGTTATATGTTTATTAGGAAATTAACTACAGGAATTGAGGAGACCAGACTTCAAAATCTAATTTTTATAAATATGCTGTATGTTCTCATTGGATAAAACTGGTTATTAACCAATTTTCCAGAACAGCTGTACAGAATTTCTGCATAGCAGCTAGCTAAATGGTACACAATAACATGTTTAAGATGGAGTAGCTTATAATTTTATTTAAATAAAATTGCTGCTATAAAAACTGCTTCCCAAATCTAAGGAAAATATACAAATATTTTAATTAAGACAAATTCGTTTTAAAAAATAAGCCTTTTAGCAGTGATTGCTTTGTAAACAAAGGATGGGTCAGAAGAGAGAGAGCCTCAAACTCAGGTCTGACATTGAAGCCCAAGTCACCCTATAAACCGGCCCTGAGCAATTCTATTTTCTATTCCAAAAGAGAAACCAGCTGTGGGTTGACTTTACTAGGTGACGTGTGATTGACTGACTCACCTGCTGGAGCAGCAGGCGCGGCAGTCTCACCTTTTGTTTATGGGGCCTCGTTTCTAAACACGTGGAGGAGGAGACGGAGAGTGAGGGTCAGCCCACCGCAGCCATCCCTGATGGCGCCCTCCACCCCACCCCCCCCCCCCCCCCCCCCCCCCCCCCCC